GGAAGACTCTCCAGATGTTCCTGGAGCATCCAAAGATGCTTACAATCCACCATATCTGTATCATATGAACTTTCAGCCTAGGGAACCCAGCTGGCTGGCTACTGACAAAGTGCTGAGATGGATGTACACTCAACTCTGCGCAAGTAAGGCAGGTTTTCTGTTTGTTTTAGATCACCCCAACAGGCCCTCTGGTAGCCCAACAAATCACAGACAAGTAACTGAATCTTTCCAAGTTTAGAACATTTTCTCCTGGACAGAACGTTCAGTAGAAATCATGTACACATCACAGCGCACACAAACATGGTGTAAAACCATATCCTGGCTCCCTAGCACGTACGCCTGACAAGTATGGATGTCTATCTTTAGGGTAAAAAGGGAAACACAGATTGCATACAAAACAGAAAGACACAAGTCCTTTCACAAATACATTTAGAAAGCATAAGTTATGAAGCATCCCCCATTCGATATAAAGCCAGAATATTCCACTCCGTTAATATATGACAGCACAATGCTTCTTTGGCCTACAAGTGGTAACATTCTTTAAAGGTAAGGCACTTTATACCTTGAATCTATTCAAACCGCTTCCGCATCCGCATAAGCCATGCCTTCTGCAGTCGGAGGAAAACTGATCATTGCCCCAAAAGACCAGTGGAGTTTTATGCGCGTTAAGTGCAGTCAAGTCGCTTCTGACTTAAGGCGACCTTATGAATTAATGACCTCCAAAATGACGTATCAATAATAGCCTTGTTCAGGTCTTGTAAATTGAGGGCCCTTGTGGCTTCCTTGATTGAGACAATCCACCTCATCTTGGCTCTTCCTCTTTTCCTGCTGCCTTCAGCTTCTCCTAACAATATTGTCTTTTCCAGTAAGTCTTGTCTGTTTGGTGTAGTGATTAAATGCGCGGACTCTAATCTGGGAGAACCGGGTTTGATTCCCCACTCCTCCACTTGCACCTGCTGATGTGACCTTGGGTCAGTCACAAGCTCTGGCACAGCTGTTCCTGAAAGAGCAGTTTGTGTCAGAGTTCTCTCAGCCCCACCCACCTCACAGGGGGTCTGTTGTGGGGAGGGGAAGGGAAAGGAGTTTGTAAGCCACTCTGAGACTGCAAGTGAAGGGAGAGGGATAAATCCAATCTCTTCTCTTCTTCTTCATGATGTGACCAAAAGTACGATAGCCTCAGTGTGGTCATTTAATGGAGCCTGAGTGTTGTCACTGAATGGTCTGCAGTCTCCAAAACTGTACAAAGCCAAGGTATACCAACATATCAAGAAATTACTGCTGGTCCCACCATACTTTTTGCGGCCATTGCTTGAGGGGAAGTCCAATAGAAACCAGCCTGGGAAGATCCAGCAGTAGTTCTGAGCATCCCAAGTAAAAGTCTGGGCAACTGTAGAGTTCCAAATAACCTCTTCTGCTTTTACAAAAGAGAAATGTCAACTATCATCTGCCCCCTCCTGTTACCATCCTGTTACCTCTCTATTGCCATCTGTACCATGGTCTTCAGTGTGGTGTAGTGGTTAGGTGTGCGGACTCTAATCTGGGAGAACCAGGTTTGATTCCCCACTCCTCCACTTGCACCTGCTGGATGACTTTGGGCAAGCCATAGTTCTGGCACAGCTGTTCTTGAAAAAGAGCCGTTTCTGTCAGAGCTCTCTCAGCCCCACCTACCTCACAGGGTGTCTGTTGTGGGGAGGGGAAGGGAAAGGAGTTTGTAAGCTGCTCTCAGACTCCTCTGGGTAGTGAAGGGTGGGGTATAAATCCAATCTCCTCCTTCTCCACTTGCACCTGCTGGATGACCTTGGGCAAGCCATAGTTCTGGCACAGCTGTTCTTGAAAAAGAGCCATTTCTGTCAAGAGCTCTCTCAGCCCCACCTACCTCACAGGGTGTCTGTTGTGGGGAGGGGGAGGGAAAGGAGTTTGTAAGCCGCTCTGAGACCCCTTTGGGTAGTGAAGGGCGGGGTATAAATCCAATCTCTTCTTCTTCTTCTACCTCACAGGGTGCCTGTTGTGGGGAGGGGAAGGGAAAGGAGTTTGTAAGCCGCTCTGAGACCCCTTTGGGTAGTGAAGGGCGGGGTATAAATCCAATCTCTTCTTCTTCTTCTACCTCACAGGGTGTCTGTTGTGGGGAGGGGGAGGGAAAGGAGTTTGTAAGCCGCTCTGAGACCCCTTTGGGTAGTGAAGGGCGGGGTATAAATCCAATCTCTTCTTCTACCTCACAGGGTGCCTGTTGTGGGGAGGGGAAGGGAAAGGAGTTTGTAAGCCGCTCTGAGACTCCCTTGGGTAGTGAAAGGTGGGGTATAGATCCAATCTCTTCTCTTCTTCATCTCGAGAACACAGAATGATGAACACCTTGGTTTACCCAAGGTAGGGTACTTTCAATCTGGAATCCCTCATGGGATCTAGCCCTTTCTGCCTTCAGTTGTCTAACACCTGGGCACCATCGTAATAGTTGTGATGTTAAGTTTCCAGTTTTGATTTGATTGTTTTATGTTAATGTTGTTAACCCACTTGCGAGAAGGGCGGGACAGAAATTGAACCAAATAAATAAATAAATAGTGACACTGTCCTTCTCTGAGCGTCCTCCGTCCTTTATGATTCATTCCGTTGCAAAGCACAGGTCAGTCTTTCCCTGAATAAAACAGCCCATTTGCATTAATTCCGTCCTCCTGTCGCAACCGCCCTGACCTGGATAGTCCAAGCTAGTCCATTCTTGTCCGATTTCGGAAGCTAAGCAGGGTCGGCCCTGGCTAATATCTGGATGGGAGACCACCAAGGAAGTCCAGGGTCACTACACAGGGGCAGGCAATGGCAAACCGGCTCTGAACGTCTCTTGTTTTGAAAACCCCACGGGGTCGCCATAAGTCAGCTGTGACTTGAGGGCGTTCTCCACCACCAACGCCATCAGAACTACAGTATAAGGGGTTAGAGAAAGCAGGGAAAACAGCCGCATCTCTGAGAGTAACTATGGGGGGGGGGGGAGAACCACATTTGATCAAAACACGTTATCTGAGGGAACCTTAAAAAAAACAAAACCATTCTGTTCCTGTATCGTTTTAGGGGACAACAAAAAGCTATTTGCAGTATGGAACAAGGGTGAATGTCCATTACTTGAACTTTTTGGTGGATTCCGCTTCAAAAGCCAGGGCAAGTGACACGGTGAATTTATAATTATTTTTAAAAGGCCTGTAATTTTCCCCCGCCCACCTTTCAACGAAGAGTTCCGTACACAATACAGACCAAATGACACAAATTAAGAAATCGCAGGTCAAGTGCTTGATATTAAAAGAGAAGGGAAACGTGGCAGAAAACAGACAGTCCCTTTGTAATGCTGTATCTGAACATTTTAATTACACTGTAATTACATTTCCCCCTCTAAAGCTCATCGTGATTAAAAAAAAAACTTTCTGCAGACAAAAGGAACTTGAATTCTCGTCTCTTTTGTTCAAGACAATTTCTGTACTGCCACGGAAAAGACAAAGGCAACCTTTAAAAACCAGCGTCTAAATTTTTCAGCTCTCCTTCCCACTTTCACCCACGAAAAGGAAAAGTATTTTTCTCTCTCTCTCTCTCTCTCTCTCTCTCTAAAAATTATTCCATTTCTTCTTCAATCTAATCACTCTTTCAGTCTGCTTGCAAAAACGAACAACAGCAAAACCCAGGAAAAAACTTGGAAACATATACAGTCGAATACCATTCTGTCCAGATTGCAAAAAAGAAAGAAAGAGCACAATCAAGGCACACTCAGGAGAGCTCAGGTGCATTAACATCACCCCACACTGTGTGCACCGAAGAAACCAGAGACAACTCTTTCATTTTACATCACACCACCTTGTTCCGATTAGGTTTTAAATTCAGCCTTGCAGGCCTGATTCAACCTTGCCGGGCATCATTCAACCGAGCTCCCCAAGAAAGTTGCACGACTCATAACAACCTCCCAGCACCCTCCCCTCTTGCAACCCCCCCCCCAGATATACTCCCTGAATCCCCACCTCCCTTAGCTCTCACCACTCACCCTTCCACCAAAATGGCGACGTGGACAGTTGGGAGGAGGGGAAGAAAGGAAACGGCAAAAATGCCCTCTTAAGAGAGAGAGAAGGATGGAGAAGAGGAGAGAATGGGGGGGGGGAATGTTAAGGGATGAAGGCTGGGGAGGGAAGGGGAGAATCAAGAGATTTACAAAGCAGGGAGACTGAAAGAGGTTTACAAAGAAAACTTGGGGGGGGGGGGTTGCTGCTAAAAAAAAGCCCCAAAAGCATAATAATAGGAGACTGCAAAGAGAGGTGTAGAAAGGATGCCAGCTATGGGGGAGGGGGTGTTCTTTGCAAGCACAGCCAGACCCCTTTCGCCCTCCCCCCCTCCCCAAAATGGAGAAGCACCTTTCTTGGAACACAACTGGGGGGCAGCCAGCCCTGAGAACAGGAAGAGGGCTCACTATGCAGAGTCCCCCTCCAGTCTAAGCGCCCTGCTTTCAGAGAGGGCCTAACGCTGGAGCAAGTGGGCACCCAGGACTGCACCATCAGGATGGCGAGCATCGACTCCCCCCCATTATCCTCCTATAAGCCTCTGGCTTGTCTTGGGTGCCCGTGAAGGAAAGTCCCATAAGGGAAGACGTTATTTCCCTCCCCTTTTTCTTTCTTTCTTTAAGAACATAAGAGAAGCCAGTGCTGGATCAGGCCAATGGCCCGTCTTTCTTTTAAGGGTGTGTGTGTGTGTGTGTGAAGATGGATGTGGGGCGAAGGTGCAAAGAAAGGCGCCTCCATAGCTGCGCTCCTTTTCCCTGCATCTTTTCTTTTTGGCCTTCGCGCACCCAAAGCATGGGGGCCAAACCCGCCACCCGGGCGCCAAACGAGAGGCGCAAAATGGAGACGACCCCGTCTGCCCTTTCTTCCTTCACCACCACCACCCCCAAGCTGCCCCCGGCGGGAAAGGCCGGCGCTGTCGGGCCAGGCCGCGGCGGCGGGCGGGGGAAGGAGGCAGGAGAAGGAGGGCCGCCGCCTTACCTTTTCTTGTCGCTGGCGCCGCCCGTCGCGTCGGAGTCCATGGCGGCGGCCGGGGCGGCTCTCGCAGAGCGGCGGGGCCTGGCGGCGGAGTCGCCTCAGAAGGTCGGCCCGACGCGGAGCGAGCGAGCGAGCGAGCGAGGCCGGTCGTGCTGGAGGAGGCGTCGGGCGGAGTGAGGTAACGCGGGGCTGGTGAGCCGAGGGGGCGGGCGGGCGAGGCGGAGCCGGGGTGGTGCCCAGGCCCGGCCTTCCAGTCACGAGCGCGGCCTGCGCCACTCAGCGGCCGCCTGGCGGACCGGCCCCCCTCTCGTCGGAGGAGGCCGCGGCCGCCCCACGGCGCTCGGGGAAGGGTGGGGAGGAGGAGACCTCCGCTTCGTGTGTGGGGCAAGGCCGGGTTTCAGCCGTTTCTGAGGGGAAACAAGAAGGGGCGGCTGAGAGGGGGTGGGAAGGGAAGGCCGTTCTTTCCCTGGCAGACGGTGGAGCGGCCAGGGTGAGTGAAAACGAAAAGCGTTTCTGAGCGTGTGCAGAGCGCACCTTGCCTTCCCGCCATGGCCTGCAAACAGTCTACTTGGGTTGACTTTCCCTGGTAGAAGCTGCCAGGGTCAGTACAAAAGAGCGTTCCTGAGTGTGTGCAGAGAGCATGGTCTGCGAAGGATCTACTTCGGTTGACTTTCCCCAGTAGACTGGGAAGCTGCCGGGGTCAGTGAAAAAGAGCGTTTCTCAACAGTTGGGAGAGCAGATTATCTTTCTGCCGTGGCCTGCAGGCAATCTACTTCGGTTGACTTTCCCTAGTAGACGGTGAAGCTGCCAGGGTCGATACAATTGAGCAGTGGAGGCGAACCCATGGCGTGGGTGCCAGAGGTGGCCCTCAGAGCCCTCTCTGTGGGCACACGTGCCATCGCCCCAGCCAGGCCCAGACCATCATTAAAGTGTCGAATTCTCTGCCAAATAATTTTAACTAAATGAAAGCATTTGGGATTGCTTTCCTTACTTTGTTTGGATCACCTTAAGTTAATGTAGGAGTTGTTTTTTTCTAAAGTAAAACCTCAGTATTCAGGTTAAATTGCCATGTTGGCACTTTGTGACGAATAAGTGGGTTTTGGGTCGCAGTGTGGGCACTCGGTCTCTAAAAGGTTTGCCATCACTGCAATAGAGTGTTTCTCAGCATGTGCAGAGCGCACCTTGCCTTCCCACCATGGCTTGGAAACAGTCGACTTTGGTTGACTTTCCCTAGTAGACTGTGAAGCTGCCAGGGTCAGTAAAAAAAAAAGAGCATTTGTAGGCATGTGCAAGAGTGCATGTTTGCCTTCCCACGGTGGTCTGGAAACAATCTACTTCAATTGACTCTCCGTGGTGGGAGGTGACGCTGCCAGTGTCAATCCAAAAAAGTGTTTCTGAATGTGTGCAGAGAGCATACTATCTTCCTGCCGTGGCCTGCAAACAATCTACTTTGTTTGACTTTCCCTAGCAGAAGGTGATGCTACTGGGGTCAGTACAAAAGAGCATTTCTGAGCATGTGGCCTGCAAACAATCTACTTCAGCTGACTTTCCCTAATAGATGGTGAAGTTGCCAGGGTCAGTACAGAAGAGTGTTTCTGAGCATGTGCAGAGTGCACCTTGCCTTCCCACCATGGCTTGGAAACAGAGGTCGATCGCAGTTCCCCCCCCCCCGTGAGGTGCGGGGGGCAGGGCACACGATGAAGCCCCGCCCCCTGCTTCTGGCCCTCATTCAGCCAGGAGGAGGCAGGAGAAGAGGGAGGGTAAGTTGCTTCCTCCCCGCCTCTCCCCACCCCTGCCTGCCTGGGGCCAGGGAGGGCCTTGGCGGGGCTTCCTCGCACTCCCACCGGCCTTGCAGGTCCACCGTTGGGCCCCTGATGTCAGGGGGTGTGGCATATGCTAATGAGTTATGCTAATGAGTTCCCCTATCTCTTTTTCTGCGAAACGACCCCTGCTTGGAAACAGTCTACTTTCGTTGACTTTCCCTAGTAGACTATGAAGCTGCCAGGGTCAGTACAAAAGAGCATGTCTGGGCATGTGGAAGAGTGCATGTTGCCTTCCCACCATCTACTTCAGTTGACTTTCCGTGGTGGGAGGTGACGCTGCCAGCGTCAGTCCAAAAGAGTGTTTCTGAATGTGTACATACATCATTTATTTGCCATTGGACCATAGATCAGCATGAGCAACCCAAAAGCTTCCTTCTGTCTACAGAGGAAAAAACCCTAACCTCCCAGGATCCTAGGCAGTGTTCCCTCTAAGCTAAGTTAGTGTGGGCTAGCTCACAGTTTTTTAGCCTCTGGCTTACACATGTTTGACTTAGCTCAGGAAGGATGGCTCCAAAGCAAACTGATTTATGCAGTAGCCAAATGGCTTGCTCACAACTTTAATGCCAGTCGCTCACCAAGTAGAATTTCTGCTCACAGGACTCCACAGCTTAGAGGGAGCATTGAAATTCCTAGGACAATGTGAAGGATACAAGGCATGGTGATCCAGAGTGTGCATATAGTTTGCGTAGTCTCCCTCACTGTTGGGCCTTACTCTTCTTGCCCCTGTGTGAGTTTGGGGAGGAGCCATGGCTCAGTCTCTTGGCATGAAGAAGGTCTGATGATCAATCCTGACATCTCCAGTCAAAAGGATCTGGTAGTAGGTGATCTGTCCTCACCTGGATGGCACAGGCTAGCCTCATTTTGGCAGATCTCGGCAGCTAAGCAGGGTTGGCCCCGGTTAGTATTTGGATGGGAGACCACCAAGGAAGTCCAGGGTTGCCAGGAAGAGGCCAGCAACGGCAAACCAATTGTGAGAGACTCTGGCCTTGAAAACCCTACAGCACGGGTGTCAAACATGCGGCCCCCGGAGGGCTTCCATCAGGCCCACAGTGAAACAGGCCATCTCCTGCTTCCGGTTTTGCAGCTGCTGCTGCATCATAGCTTGCTTCGCCAGACTCTCTTAACCACTCAGCCATTTCATGTTTTAACCTGGGTCCTAGACTCAGAACTCTGAGCACGAGATTTCTGTGGTGAATGTCAATAAATCAAAAATAAGTTTGAAGCTTACAGAGCTAATGTTTTAAACATGTTTTTTTTTAAGTAAAAAAAATCTTTGTGTTTGTCTCCTTTATAAAGTATTTCTCCACTGCCTGGTATTACATTTTATGACACTGATGGCCTGGCCCAACAAGGTCTCATTTATGTCAGATCCGGCCCTCATTACAAATGAGTTCAACGCCCATGCCCTACAGGGTCACCATAAGTCGCCTGTGACTTGTTGGCACTTTCCACCACAGTAGGTGATAATGAAAGACTCTGGGGAGCCGCTACCAAGTCTGAATCGACAATACGGGCCTTGATGGACCAGTGGTCAGGTTCAATATAAGGCAGCTTCATGAATTGACAATACGACTTAAAACTTGCTCAGAATTAAGACCATAAGAAGAGCCCCGCTGGATCAGAGCAGTGGTCCATCCAGTCCACCATCCTGTCTCACACAGTGGCTAACCAGTTCCTCTGGAGGGCCAACAACAGGGCATACAGGCCAAGGCCTTCATTAGAACATCAGAAGAGCCCTGCTGGGTCAGCCCAGTGGTCCATCTAGTCCAGCATCCCATCTCACACAGTGGCCAGCCAGTTCCTCTGGAGGGCCAGCAACAGGGCATAAAGGCTGAGGCCTTCATTAGAACATCAGAAGAGCCCTGCTGGGTCAGCCCAGTGGTCCATCTAGTCCAGCATCCCATCTCACACAGTGGCCAGCCAGTTCCTCTGGAGGGCCAGCAACAGGGCATAAAGGCTGAGGCCTTCATTAGAACATCAGAAGAGCCCTGCTGGGTCAGCCCAGTGGTCCATCTAGTCCAGCATCCCATCTCACACAGTGGCCAGCCAGTTCCTCTGGAGGGCCAGCAACAGGGCATAAAGGCTGAGGCCTTCATTAGAACATCAGAAGAGCCCTGCTGGGTCAGCCCAGTGGTCCATCTAGTCCAGCATCCCATCTCACACAGTGGCCAGCCAGTTCCTCTGGAGGGCCAGCAACAGGGCATAAAGGCTGAGGCCTTCATTAGAACATCAGAAGAGCCCTGCTGGGTCAGCCCAGTGGTCCATCTAGTCCAGCATCCCATCTCACACAGTGGCCAGCGAGTTCCTCTGGAGGGCCAACAACAGGGCATTGAGGCCGAGGCCTTCCCCTGATGTCGCCTTCTGTCCCTTGGCATCAGCATCTTGCAGAGGAAGATTGTACCAGCTGCTGCGTTCAAGAGAAGTCTTTAAGGAAGTTTGTTCACCGTTACCGATCCGTATCATTGAAGGAACTCTGATAAGCTTCATAAAAGAAACCTCAAGGTTCCCGAGAAGCCAGCAATCTATTTGTGTCTTCTATTTCTTTGCTACTGCACTAGAGGCTTCCTCAACATTTGCAAGTGCTCTACATCTCAAAAGACCTTTGATCAGCACATAAAATATAGTGTAGATGGTTCATTTAGAGGTTAGCCTGAATAGCATTTACACACTGGAGCTCTTGACATGCACATGCACACACATACAGAAACTTACAGACACTTATCAGTCCTGACTAGGATTTCCAGGTCCCCCCTGGCCGCCAGCTGTGGATGGATATAGGGTTTCCAGATCCAGGCTGGGAAACTCCTAGAGATATAGATGGAAGCCTAGAGAAGACAGGGACCTCAGTGGGGTACCATGCCACAGATTCCACCCTCCAAAGCAGCCATTTTCTCCAGGGGGACTGATCTCTGTAGTTTGGAGATGAGCTATTATTCCAGGGGATCCCCGGGCCCCACCTGGAGGCTGGCAGCCCTAGACCCCAAGTACTTTCCTCCTTGTTGTTTCTGCCAGGTGCTTTTTAGAGTTAGAGACCCCTCCCCTCCCCATAATCTCCATCCTTTTTAAAAAACGTTTTAAATTTTTTTCCCCTATGTACGGACCAAACGAATGCACAAACATACATGAATACATATAAAAGGGAATTCCCTTTGTGTCATTTTTATCACAACCCTTGACCTCATACTATAGACAAAAAAAAAGATATATATTTTTCCGTCTTGTAATTCCAATATGTCTCTTTGCCAGTTTGGTATGGTGGTTAAGTGCGCGGACTCTAATCTGGGAGAACCGGGCTTGATTCCCCACTCCTCCACTTGCACCTGGCTGGATGACCT